GCGGGGAGAGGTAGGGACTGGGGAGGTGGTAGGGGCGGGGGGGAGAGGGTAGGGGCGGGGGAGAGGTGGGTAGGGGCGGGGGGGAGAGGTGGAAGGGGGGAGAGGTAGAGGCGGGGAGAGGTGGGGGGAGAGGAGGAAGGGGAGGAGGTGGTAGGGGCGGGGGGAGGTGGAAGGGGGGGGGAGAGGTGGTAGGGGGGAGAGGGGTAGGGCGGTAGGACGGGGGAGAGGGGTGGGAGGGAGGTGAGGGTGGGGGAGAGGTAGGGTGGGGGGAGAGGTAGGGCAAGAGGTAGGTAGGGATGGGGAGGTGGTAGGGACGGGGGGAGGAGAGGGTAGGTCGAGGGGAGGGGCGGAGGTGACGAGTAAAATAATAAAAATAAAAAATAATACACAAAACAAATGAAAACAACAAAGAATAAAAAAAAACAGACCCAACAAACAATGGATGAAATAAACAGAGTAAAGGCCAAGAAACAAATTGACAAAGATGACGTCACGGGATGTTCAACAGGAAATAGCCACAATAATTACCGACGGCAAGATGAAACGAATCTATGAATATCGTTAAACATTTAATGTGTGTGTGTGTGTGTGTGTGTGTGTGTGTGTGTGTGTGTGTGTGACTAAGATGGTGAATGATAATAAAGCTAAAGATTAATATGACTCGTGTAAAATTGTAACACAACCTCAAGTAACACTAACATGGTGAATCCGTTTCAAGTAACACTAACACTGCAACGTTGTCTCAATGTAATATATATGAAGTCTTACTACTTTAAGTCACACTACTTGAAAAACCACTGGCATGTAACAGTTTCAAGTAGCACTACCTCATGTAACATTAACACTACTTCAAGAAATATGTATAAAACTAACTAAATTCAACAGACGTAACGTTAGAGAAGTACGACAAAGCATTTGATATGATGCCAGTAACTTGTAACACAAGTAACACTACACTGGTAACATACAATTCAAGTTACATTAACACAGTCACGTAATCAATCGATAGAAGAAGTAACAGCAGTTCAGTCACATATAAGTGTCACCGATTTCCTTCAAAGTAACACATGTCAATACACATATCACTCGCACCTAATTTAAGTAACAACACGTCTCGCTACAAGTGACACTGTAACATTATCAACTGGCGTAGCAAATCAGTCACAAGTAACACAGGTTTCCCAACATGACCAACGAACAAGTTATGAATAAATAAAATTAAGAACAGTACCTCCTCACATGGAAAAAAGTAACAAATGTACGTCTCACACCAAACAACTACCACCACACACGGAACACGTAACAACTGTACCATACGCGGAACAAGTAACAACTGTAGCTCACACGGAAATAAAAGTAACACGTAACGTTACAAACAGAACAAGTAACAAATACCACACACACTGAACAAGTAACAACTACCACACACGGAACAAGTAACAACTACCACACACACGGAACAAGTAACAACTACCACACACACGGAACAAGTAACAACTACCACACACACACGGAACAAGTAACAACTACCACACACGGAACAAGTAACAACCATAACACGGAACAAAGATCCATCAAAACTTTATCACTACCACGTCACTTACAATCACTAAACAACCAAGTTTTGTACAGAAATGAACACACAACGATATGCCCGATAATACGTTACCATACACTCACGAGGTATTATAGAGGCCTATATCTTTAATAAACATCGCATGAACATTATCAATTATTAGCGATATTATAAGTTCACGTTATTATCAGTTGACATTGTCACTTAAGTGTCAAATAACGAGTTCTAGTTGGTAGGGCACCAGTGACACAAGTTTGTGATTGGTCAGATCTTTTTCGTCTCAGGAATTCAGTAGAAACAAGATGGAGGCGGGCAGCAAGCTGGCAGGCAACGAAGGACGCTCAACCCAAAATTGTCCAAATTACAATACTATTTCCATTTGACATGACATTTAAGAAGGAATATCTTAAGTTAACATAAATACAAGTTCTTGTAAACATACAACATGGGTGGAGGACACACAACACCAAAAATTCCACCGTCTCGTCGGTGACTTGAATTTATCCTTCAGGAATGCGTCGGGTATGTGCGTGTGTACATGAGTGCGTATGTGCGTGCAGGTATCATGAGGTGTCAACATGACATACGGTACGGCCAGACACCAGCCTATAGGGCCTCCTGCTTATAGTCCTACATCCTGAGTGCTTTAAATTTAGGCCTACCGGGCAAATTTGTCAGCTTATAACACAACAGTTACGCCGTCCTGTCAAGCAGTCACAGTCCTTCACCCAGCCCGGCGACCTTCTGACGTGTTTACTGCAACTCACTAACATTCTAACTCATGTAAGTAAATAAATAAATAAATAAATAAATAACGTCAATGTTTACTACCACCAGTCTATTACTGTCACTAACACTATCTAAACTACTCACTAGCTCACCACATCACACACCTATAAATAGAGTAAAGATGACATTAAAGACTAACTAGTTTTACTATACTGAATAAATAATATGGGGTTTAAGAGATAAACAGTAGGCTTCATAATTACGAGAAAATGAACAGCAGCATGACAGGAGACACAGAGCTGCTCCAGAGTGAGGAAATAAACGAGTGGAATGATAAAATGTGCGTAAATATCCGTGTTAATATATTCATTTAAGGAACATAATTAAGGCGCGGGTGTATGCAGGGCCACACACGCGCGAGCACCCGAGGGACGCGGTAAACCCTACTGCCGTCCTCAAGCCACTGAGGAGTCAAAACTTTTATCCCTCAGGAATGTTGATGTTCCCTTCAGCGCCTGCGTCGTCAACCGCCTCTGGTGCGCAGGTCCTGACGCCACCCGCCGCCTGTCACGCAACAAGTTTACCCACTTCTTCACTCGCCTCTTTCACTTCAGAAACACCACTTTGAAGACTTAGATTTTAAATATGTGCAAATAATCGAGATTCTGATATTATTTCATAAACATTAGCTTGTATGTTAAGAGGAATCAATGACGTTTATGTAGACAGCACCTCAAACTTTCTACCTGTCCTTTCCGCCAAACTTCGGCAACCCCGCCGCCTACGCAAGTTTCATCGGCTGTTGCCTACTAGTATTTTTGGCATTCTTCCAAAATAAATGTGCACCGTTAAGAAATGCCAACTTAAAACAAATGAAAACTATTATTTAATTTTATCTAAATGCACCATACACATCTCGTTATCCGTTTAATGTACATGTTTTAAGGGTAAATGTATAAAGAATGTTGGTCTGTAATATGCCGCACAACTCTACGACCGGCATACCACCACGTGTTATGTGGTAAAAATCCAACCCTTGTTTCTGAACACACAACCAATCTGTCAAACTTAACATACAACATAATTTACAACTGTGATGGTACAACACCGCCTTGTACACCACCACTACAACACCAGCAGCCCAGATACACCATGACCACACACCTCACACCGCTAATTAAACGAAAATTAAGTCAAATTTCTATTAGATGACATTGTGTCGCATATGGAGTCACTGGACACCAGCGACCCATAACTAGGATACACAACACAACTACACAACCAGGGTGTTATCGCTGCTTCCCTGCTGATAACACTCACGATAACACACAAGATAGCGGTTCTTATTCATGTCCAGGTAATTGTGTCACCACACCACTGTAAACACAAACTTCTGAACAATACAACAAACCACAAGCGCACACACACACCAACACAACAACAAACCACAAGCACACACACCTACACAACAAACTAAAAGCACACACAACAAACAAGCACACACACTGACACAAACCACACAAACCACAAGCACACAGAGTCATCAACTACGTCTGAATACCAATAAAAAAACAACAAGAATCAGTGTTTTGTCCACATTACATCATTATCAAACAGCAGCGCGACACAAACCCACAACAAACAGCACACCGCGTAGCTCTCCGGTTTTTCCTACCGAACAAAGAGTTTTGTTATTATTCCAAGGTGGTCAGTCAGCATCGCCACGGCTGACATCACCAATCAGTGAGCATTTCCGAGTCAGCAGCATCAGCGTAGCCTGCCTGGTGGGCGTGGGGCAACATGCGTCACCTCTCCCTTGTCTCCAGCAGAGGTCAAACAGGTCAACCGACGTATGACCTCTTGTTGTGAGTGAAAGAGGGCCGGCGACCTTCCCTCACACATCATGCACTGGAACAATGGTGAAGTGATGAGGTGACGGGTGAGGCAAGTGTTACGGCTACCTGACACTTGTTACGTTACACTACCCCACCTCACACCTGGCCTACCCCGTCAGCCACCCATCGGAGTTACTCCTGTCAATCACCTCATCTCTGGCCTACCTCCCATCAACCACCCCACATCTGGCCTACCCCCGCCAACCACCCCACCCCTGGCCTTTACCTCAATCAACCACCCCACACCTGGCTTACCTCATCAATCACCCCACACCTGACCTACCTCATCAATCACCCCACACCTGACCTACCTAATCAGCCGCCCCACACCTGACCTACCATCAATCACATTTAACATTACTTAATCTCAAAGTCATGCGATAGGTCTGTGAAGTAGTGCCAGATAAAGAACTACCCCTGCCTACAGTCAGCTCGACACTACCAAACACAGACGAGATATGTGTATCGTCCAGCCAGATGTTGCTGGACACTCGCCACAGGCCAGCCCTCAATACACAGACAAGTCTTGGATACTGTGGGTGTGGCGATATAAGTTTATACCTTAGTCTGTCTATTTAAATGCATTCAGGAACATAACGCTATTTTTTTGTGCAGCTGAGCGGTGAATGGGTTGTATTCACCTTGGAAGTCAATGTTGTTTGTGTTTTTGTATATAGTGTTGGTGTACACTGTTGTAGGAGTCGTGGGTCCAGTCTGGTTGCGACAGGAGACCTTGTCACTGACTAGTGAGGACCTGTGGATGTGTGGTGTAACATGCACGACCACTGTTACCCAAGGCGCTGTGTGATGCCACTGTTACTTACTTGAGGTAGTAAATTTGTCCCTGTGGAGTCCTAGCTTGCTCCCAGCCCGGGGGAAGACTACCCATGTCGTCGTTGAGGTCATAACTTTGCTGCTTGAGGTGGGCGACCTGCTGCTGTTGCTGCTGCTGCTGAGCCACAGCGAACGTCTGTTGCAGCGAGGCTGGCGAGGAGTGGTGGCGGAAGTGCTGAGGGGCGGTGTTGGGGGATATGGCGCCCGACACCCGTAGGCCGCCCACGCCACCCCCGCCGTAGGTGGAGTCCGCCGAGCCCTCCCTGGAGTGGGTTACGGTGGGCGCGGGGGACTGACGATGGGCGGGCGGCGTGAAGAAGGACGCGGGCAGATTGCGCATCTTGAAAGGCTTCTGCAGGGGCACCTGGCTCGAGGGCTTCAGAACTACCTCAAACAGGGCCCGCAGCTCGCTGTCACTGTCAGCACGCACATGGACGATTTGACTGCCCCGCTGCTCCATAGGGAGCGAATCATCCTTGTTCGAGCTGGCCATCTTGGCTACTTAGGTCAACACTCACACCGAGCCACACACCATAACACACACCTCCTCTCCCTCCGGCTGCTCCCCGAGTACTGAAACCAGGAATGTGTT